CGGCGTTGCTATAGTACAGTACTGTAGCATGGCTATTTCTCCATCTATACTCCATTGTATGAGGAAAGCTTTGGAGCAGTTGCAGCATCCTGCTCGCTTGCATTTCCATTTCTACACGAGGGTTTAAACAGTAAAATTCACTATTCCTAGGTGATTATTTTATTCAATAACGTTGATGATGGGATGATCCTGATTGCTTACAACTTATTCACTAGCACTATCTTGACTAAGATACATCGATTATGCCGATGCGAAGCAGATTAAAAAATTTCTAAATGCGGCAGCCAACTTACCCTCTCGGAACCGTCCTAGCTTATGGCAGTTGTGGCAAGGAAAGAATTGCCTTGGATTCTAGGCCTGCGCATAAAGGTTTGTCCACGCCGGTCGCGTGAACAAGACAAGTGCCTCTAGAAAGGCCTCCACAGTACACTCTAGGCCTACAGTCGTAGACCGTACTGTACACTGTACACTACTGTAGTAGTCCATCTCTCCTAGTTGCTGTACTGTACTGTACAGTGTACAGTCATAAATCACTGAATATTACAGTACACTACACAGTACAGTACTGTAGCGATGGCAGCGGTACAAATCGGCTTCACTTGGATGGGGACGAGACTTTGACTGGCTAGAAGGTGTCATTTCATGCAGTGTACAATACTCACTACAGTGTACAGTGTACAGTGTACAGTCATGAATCACTGAATACATTCTTAGAGTACTGTAGCTTTGGCAGCAGTACAAATCGACTGCCAATCGCTGCACTTGGATTGGAGAATAGACTTTGACTGGGCGGAAGGTGTCATTTCATACAGTGTATAGTACTCCACTACAGTGTACAGTGTACAGTCGTGAATCATTGACTATTTTTAGAGTACTGTAGCTTTGGCTGCAGTACTGTATAAATCGAGTGCCAATTGCTTCACTTGGATTGGAGAATAGACTTTGACTAGGTGGAAGGTGTCGTTTCATACAGTGTATAGCACTCCACTACAGTGTACAGTGTACAGTCGTGAATCACCGACCATTCTTAGAGTACTGTAGCTTTGGCTGCATTACAAATTGACT